TGCAAAAGATAAAGCACCCGGACACAGCCCTCAGTGCCCAGACGTCCATGTGAAAGAGCCCAGGTGTGGGAGGGAGAGGCCAGGGAAGACGCAGGGGCAGCCCCCAGCCTGGTGCCCCTGAAGCTGCCCCTAAGCCAGGTTTCCAGCCCAGCGCCTGAGGCAGGGAGACGCAGTGCTTGGGGAGGATGGAGAGCTGCTGGAGAAGCGACCTGTGAGCAAGTAAAGTCCAGTTGCAGAAACTCACAGCCAGGCCAAAGACATGTGTGTTGTCCCCATCGGAGGTGGACGTGCTGTGCCGTGGCCAGTTCTCCATCACGCGGAGCAGCTTTGGCAGCACCTTCTCCATTGTCATAGCCGATGAGGCGATGGTCTTCCACAGGATGGCAGCGGCTCTGCGGGGCCAGAGTTCTGTGTCAGGGGGTGCCGGCCAAAGTGCCTTGAGGAGCAGGGTGGGAGCATGGCAGCAGGATGGGGGCTGACATGGCAGGGCTGGGAAACAGAGGCTCCAGATGGTCCTGGAACCCTCCATCCCTCTGGCAGAGCACGTGGCACAGGATGGACAGGCTGATGTGCTCTGAAGGCTGGTAAGCCCCGAGTCCTGAAGGCAGGGAGGCCCTGTACCTGTCACATGATGGGGCACAGCGCAGGAGGGTCACCACAACGTCATCAGGGTGTGCCTCAGTCACCCCCAGGAACTCCGTCAGCAGCTTCTTTTCCAGAGTCTGGCTGGCTGTCAGTCTCTGGTGCAGGTTCCTGACGAAGGCTGGCACCTGCAGGAGGCAGGGGGGAAGAGCTGCCAACTTGCCCAGCTTCCCTGACAAGTGCTTCCCTTCCCAGCGCACTGTGCTGGCCTCAAAGGCTGAGAGGGCCCAGGGGAGCTGGCTTGAGGGGCCACAAGCCCCTGGAGTGGCTTGAGCCCTGGCCACAGGCTGCTTACTTGCTTTGGACTGGAGACACCGTTGTCCTCAAAAATATCTGCAGTGGGAGCAGAATTCGCACTCTCCCTGGGCATGAGGTCAGCGTCTGCAATGCCCTCGGTCATTGCAGCATCGGCCTCCGCAGTGAGATTGGGCATTGCAGTCAAAGCAGGGTCAGACTTTGCTGTGTGAACAACCAGCGGGGTGTCCCAGTTTCCTGTGCCATCAGTCAGTGCAGTGGTGACATCAGGGTCCGCCTCGAATTCAGTTGGGCTGGGTTCAGGCTGGTCCACGACCTCAGTTGGTGCGGTTGTGGTCCTTCTACGCCGAATGCCCAAGAATTTCAGAAAGGCCTGCAGAAGAAGGGAGAGCAGGGAAGAGAGGGATATGCCATGGTGAGCTCTGACAGCGGTGCCAGGCTGAGCAGGGAGAGCAGGCCCAGCCCAGGAGGCCGTGGCTGAAGGTACCTGGGCTGCCCTGCGGAAGCGGCCACAGCCACGGTCCTGTT